TCCTGTTCTGCAACCAATTTTTCAACTCCCAGTAAGTTTTAAACAGATTGTGAAAGTTAATTCTCAGAAGTTTGATTCATTTTCTTTAATCTACATCATCGACAATTTTGATAATGAATTCCTTCATTCCCCAATAACCCAATGAGTTCATGTAATCAGGCAAAATGAATGATCTAATGACTCAGACTGTAATACTATTTTACAAAGCTGTGATGATTCCAAAGCTCTTCAGTCTGCTGGAGAAATAACAATACCATTTGTCAAATAAAATGATTTATACAGTTTTTGGTATGTACAGTATAAATCACTGTCTAACTCTGGCACAGTACCCACTTTTGCATCCTGGGTTTTTAGCCCTTTTTGGCCCCCTTCACATAAAGAAAAGCGATTTACATTGCTCTTCACTGGACTTGTTTTTTTCTCCCCAAAAAGTCCCAAATACAGTACCAGTCTCTTTCCCCATTTCACAATTAAAGACCTCTTCCAACGCATCTACTCCAAAACATAGAACCCTGACAACTAACTTTCATCTGTTCTCCATAGTGAATTGACCCTTGTGAAGATAGAGGTCATTAAAAAACTCATACCAATAGTTTATTTTTATGTCAATACTGACAGTCTATTTCTCTGTTGACCAGGCACATTCCTAATTAGTTGCCCTCTCTCCATTTACAATTCCATTTTCAATTCTCACCAGTGGCTTTCATTTGGTGTGGGCTGTATTTGATCCACAAGGGGCCTGATAATAGGTCATGTTCTATCATTATTCCCAGTCAATCTTAGAAAAGATAAAAAAGAGTCTCTCAAGTCTCTCAATCTGTGGTTTACAGAATGAATCTTTAAAATTATAAATATACACATATAAAAATATGTTTACAAGTAGAAAAATAAAAACAAATGCAAAGATTTAATTTAGAGTCTTCTGGCTTCAGTCTCATTCCAAGCATCTTCTTTCCCATACATTTCTAAATGTTAAATTCTGAGAAAATGTAGTTATAAATGAATATTCATTACATTCATTAAAGTGCATGTACACAGGTGGTTTTTAAATAGAAAAGCCAACCCTTTTTTTTTTTTTTTTTTTGAGACGGAGTCTTGCTCTGTAGCCCGGGCTGGAGTGCAGTGGCCGGATCTCAGCTCACTGCAAGCTCCGCCTCCCGGGTTTAGGCCATTCTCCTGCCTCAGCCTCCGGAGTAGCTGGGACTACAGGCGCCCGCCACCTCACCCGGCTAGTTTTTTGTATTTTTAGTAGAGACGGGGGTTCACGGTGTTAGCCAGGATGGTCTCGATCTCCTGACCTCGTGATCCGCCCGTCTCGGCCTCCCAAAGTGCTGGGATTACAGGCTTGAGCCACCGCGCCCGGCCTTTTTTTTTCTTAAGATAGGGTCTTACTCTGTTGCCCTGGCTGGAGGGCAGTGGCATGATAATAGCTCACTTCAGCCTCAATACCCTGGGCTCAAGCAATCCTCCCATCTCAACCTCCTGAGTAGCTGGGACTACAGGTTTGAGCCACCATGCCAGACTAATTTTTTAATTTTTAAAAAATTAGAGACAGGGTTCTCACTATGTTGCCCAGGCTGGTATCAAACTCCTGGACTCAAGTAATCCTTCCACCTCAACCTCCTGAACTTCTGGGATTACAGGTGTGAGCCACCACAAAGCCACCTCTTTATCTGGGCTAACAGAAGTCTATTTAACTTAAAAATTAAATCAGAGTAATTTCAACAAATGTCTATTGAACACCCCCCTCCCTACTTATCAGGCCCTGGAATGTTTAGGGACAAATAAGGAACAGTTTCTGCCTTCAAGGAGTTGAAAGGCTGTTGGGAGAGAATAAACCATAACTACACATAATATAAATTAGATTGGAAAAGTACATACACAAAAAATTTTTTAAGGCTATGGCAACAGAGGTGGCAACTGGGAACCACTGGGAAAGGTTTCAAAGAGTGACCTGACAAAAAGAAAGTAGTGCCTCAACTGGAATGCCTAAAATAGAATGGGGAAGAGAGACAAATGAGATGAGGTGTGGCTATGATACTGGGTAAGTGAGAGCATATTTTGGGAGACCAGGCTGAAGCTTAAGATAATAATACTAGCTAATATTTATTGAGCACCTACTATGTACCAGGTACTATTAATGCACTTTATATATATTAACTTGCTTGATACTCACAATAACCCTATGAGGAATGTGCTAAAACCTTGAAATCCATAAAAAATAAAGAGGACCAAATTCTGTCCCACTCTAGCCACACTTATTGTAAACGCAGTTAACAGGTCTCTCATCTACCTCTTCTCTCACTAATTCCTAGGTCATCCTTCAAGGCCTAGCTTGAAAACTACATTCTCTGCAAAACCTTTCTTGATCCTCCCAGCTGAACAGTCTCCTAAGCTTGATAGCATTTTATCTGTGTCAATCTTATGGCATGTCCGAATATTTTGTTCTTGGCATTATAGATTTTATGTGCATTCTTCCCTCTTTTTTATTCTCCGTTAGTCTGATCCACATTCTGTTCCCCACAACTCCTAGGGCAGTGCCTGGCACATACTAATGCTAGCTAAGTCTATGGAGCAGTTTGTCTTTGCAGGGCACTGTGCTAAGCATTTTACAGGAATTATCTCACAAAATCCTTATGGCAACCCAATTCACACACTCAAGAGCTGTTTTCAGTCCTTACTGTGACAGACAAAATAGTAAATACTAGACCGGGCGCGGTGGCTCAAGCCTGTAATCCCAGCACTTTGGGAGGCCGAGGCGGGTGGATCATGAGGTCAGGAGATCAGACTATCCTGGCTAACACGGTGAAACCCCATCTCTACTAAAAAAATACAAAAAAAATTAGCCTGGCGTGGTGGCCGGTGCCTGTAGTCCCAGCTACTCGGGAGGCTGAGTCAGGAGAATGGCGTGACGCCAGGAGGCGGAGCTTGCAGTGAGCTGAGATCGCGCTACTGCACTCCAGCCTGGGCGACAAGGGAGACTCTGTCTCAAAAAAAGAAAAAAAAAAAAGAGAAGAAGGAAAAAGAAGAAGGAGGTGGAGGAGGAAGGAGAAGGAGGAGGAGGAGGGAGGAGGGGGGAGGAGGAGGAGGGAGGAAGGAGGCAGGAGGAGGGAGGAGGAGGAAGGAGGCAGGAGGAGGGAGGAGGAAGGAGGAGGAGAGAGGAGGAGGGAGGAGGAGGAGGGAGGAGGAGTAGGGAGGGGAGAGGAGGGGGAGGAACGGGGAGGGGGAGGAGGAGGAGGGAGGAGGGGAGGAGGGGGAGGGGGAGGAGGAGGGAGGAGAGAGGAGGGGGAGGGAGGGGGAGGAGGAAGAGGAAGAGGAAGAAGAAGAAATGGAAAAAAAAAAAAAAAAAAAAGACGGCAGAGCCAGAATTCAAACCAGCTCTCCCAAGTGGATATACAGGACCCCATGCACGTATAACCACTACGTGCTAAAGGAGGCACTTGATGAACCTTTATTGAAGGAAATGTTTTGGAATACCACTAAAATGAAAAATCATGTCAAGGATAACGAAGGGTTTCACTCACTGTCATTCCTTTTTATGAGGGGAAAGCAGAAAATTTGCAAAAATTAAATAGTACAGACGGAGGTCGTATTGGTCTCCTACTACTCACCTGGTACCTCATAATTGCTCATCAAGCTATCTGTTGAGACTAGGTGATGATGGAGGGTTTCTTTCTTTGCTTTTTCATAAACCACAGAGGAGACTTAAAGGAGGATTTCTTTGTGTCCCTTAAAGTGACCCCCACTGAGCGTGTCCTTCAAAGGGGACCTTCCTAAGCATCAGCGCTTTGCTGTGCGCTGGGTGGTGCGGCTGAGTCACTAATTAGCAGTGAGAGCCTGTGGTTGTATCTCCTATCAAATAACCAGCGGAGTGGAGTGACAGGTCCTCACTTAAACATGGTTTAAGTAAGCATTCACAGTTCCTTACTTAAACATGATGCAGCCTTCCTGAAAGATGGAGTCAGACCCCAAGAGAACAGGTCTTCAAAAATGTGTGAATCCGTACTTAACCCTGGAGGGGCGAGAAAGCTGCAGTAAGGGATTATAAGAGACCCTACAACTCCTCAGGCGCCCTCTGCCCTGGGGGCCAGGAACATCTGCAGACAACCCCGCCTCCGTCTCGCCTCCATCCCGAGCCGTTCCCTTCTCCAAAGGCCACCTTGGCAGCCACACAGTTTGGCCTAATCACCTACTCAAACAAAAGTAGCGACACCCCAAAATGTAGACCAAGCAGAAGGAGGCGCTGGAGGCACTTGCCTTGTTCCCCATGATGTTTTTGAGACGGAGTCTCGCTCTGTCGCCCAGGCTGGAGTGCAGTGGCGCGATCCCGTCTCATTGCAACCTCCGCTTCCCGGGTTCAAGCGATCCTCCCACCTCGATCCTCCCGAGTAGCTGGGACTACAGATGCGCGCCACCACTCCTCCTACTGTGTGTGTGTGTGGACACAGGTTCTCGCTATGTTGCCTACCTAGCTGGTACCCCATAACCACTCCTGGTTAGAGTGAGTGAGTGAGTGAGAGTGTGTGTGTGTGTGTGTGTGTGTGTGTGTGTGTGTGGACACGGGTTCTTGCGATGTTGCCTACTTAGCTGGTACCCCATAATTTTTTAGCCCAACAGGAGACCACCTGCCTTTATACCCCAGGTCCATCAAGTTAAGCAGCGCAGTAGCCCTCTAAGGGCCAGCTCCACACCCAGGGATTCCTCCGACAGCGCGGACAGATGTCCTGGGAGGCTGGCTCAACTCGGTACCCAGCCCCCGGCCCCCGGCTCCCAGCTACCGGCGCCCCGCCTCCAGCGCTCAACAGTTAACAAGGCAACCCGCGCGCAGACGCCACGGCCGCGGCGCAGAAGGCGTGTTTGGCAGCCCCGCCGCCCCGCCGCCCCGCCGCCCCGCCGCCCCCCCCCCGCCGCCCCGCCGCCCCGCCGCCGCCGCCCCGCCGCCCCGCCGCCCCGCCGCCCCGCCGCCCCGCCGCCCCGCCGCCCCGCCTCTCGCGCCTTCCGCCAATGGCCCTACTGCGCCGGCGCCGCCGGGAGCGCCAGGCCTCATCCCGCTTCCTAGGATAGCGCTGCGCGCATGCGCCTTGACGAGTGAGCCGGGTGAGGGGGTTCCCTAAGTAGCGGAAGGGGCAGATGGAAATGGAAGGGGTGGGCGCGCTTAGGCCTCGTCCTGGCTAGGCTCCCGCTGGAGTTTGCGTTGGGGGCGGACCAGGAGCGGTGGTCTCCAGGGAGGTCGAGGCTGGGGCTCCCACCCGAATTTGGAGCAGGGTTGCGGCGGCCCAGCTGAACCGCCGGCGTTTGTACGTTATGTGCCCACTTAGGGAGCCATGGACAACTGTTTGGCGGCCGCAGCGCTGAATGGGGTGGACCGACGTTCCCTGCAGCGTTCAGCAAGGCTGGCTCTAGAAGTGCTGGAGCGGGCCAAGAGGAGGGCGGTGGACTGGCATGCCCTGGAGCGTCCCAAAGGCTGCATGGGGGTCCTTGCCCGGGAGGCGCCCCACCTAGAGAGACAGCCGGCAGCCGGCCCGCAGCGCGTTTTCCCGGGAGAGGTGAGGGTCGCCGTGCTGGGGACCGCCCCAGTCATTCGCACCGCTGTAGCCCGCTGGGAGCCTGGGGCGCGCAGCGCAGAAGCACCTGAGGAAACCTCCCCTTAGCGGAAGCTGGAAAGGATCAGGACAATGAATGGAAAAGTCCTTTCAAAACTATTTATATTTGACAGGTTCTTGTTGGGTAGCTGTAGAATAACGGTAGTGTTCAGCCCTGGTTGGTTACTTAAAAAAAAAAAAAAAAAAGGCCGGGCGCGGTGGCTCACGCCTGTAATCCCAGAACTTTGGGAGGCCGAGGCGGCGGATCACCTGAGGTCGGGAGTTCGAGACCGCCTGACCAACATGGAGAAACTTTCCGTCTCTACTAAAAATACAAAATTAGCCGGGCATGGTGGCGCATTCCTGTAATCCCAGGTACTAGAGAGGCTGAGGCAGGAGAATCGCTTGAATCCGAGAGGCGGAGGTTGCGGTGAGCCAAGATCGTGCCATTGCACTCCAGCCTGGGCAACAAGAGCGAAACCTCCGTCTCAAAAAAAAAAAAACAAAAAACTTAACAGCTGTCATCTGATAATAGAGGAAAGCCTGGAAAGCCTGCAAACCTATCTCTTAGGTCCTGGATAAATTGCATGTCCATCTTTTAGGGTTGGAATTCTTTCTCAGTAACATCGTTCTTTCTGACATAAACTTGCAGAGCCTTTCGAAAAGTAAAAAGGAGGCTATTTCCAAAATGGCTTTATTCTCCAGTAGGGAATCCTAGATCTAACCTGTGACGTGCCATTTATTCAAATAGAGAGAAGAGAGGCCCCCAACCCTTAGTGCTTCCTTCAGAACAATGGCTGAATTCATGGACTATACTTCAAGTCAGTGTGGGGTAAGTTGGTGTGAACCAAAGATATGTCCCATCACCTGCTGATGGACCACAATGGGGATCCTTCTGGAATTTAGGGAGAATCTGGAGACTACCTGTTTCTCCTGCCCAGCCTTCATGGTCAGATTGTAAACAGTCAAGGACTTAAACCAGGGGGTAAATCCAAGTTAGAATTCACTCAACCAATGTTTATTGAATGCCTAACTCTGTAGTTGACAATATAGCTATGAAAAGTCAGAAAAGGTCTTCTGCCCTCAGTGATCTTTCAGTCTGGTGGGGGGAAAAATAGCTTATTTGCTGAATTCCTTAGCAAGTAAGTTAAATATTAGGGTTTATTTATTTTTATTTTATTATTTATTTATTTATTTTTTTTTTTGAGACAGAGTCTTGCTCTGTCACCCAGGCTGTAGTGCAGTGGCGCAGTCCCGGCTCGCTTCAAGCTCCACCTCCTGGGTTCATGCCATTCTCCTGCCTTACCCTTCCTAGTAACTGGGACTAGAGGCGCCTGCCACCACGCCCAGCAAATTTTTTTTTTTTTTTTTTTTTTGTAATTTTCAGTAGAGACAGTGTTTCACTGTGTTAGCCAGGATGGTCTCGATCTCCTGACTTCATGATCCGCCCACCTCTGCCTCCCAAAGTGCTGTGATTACAGACGTGAGCCACCGCACCTGGCCTTTTTTTTTTTTTTTTTTTTAATTGAGACAGTCTCACTCCATCACCCAGGCTGGAGTGCAGTGGCTCAATCTTGGCTTACTGCAACCCCTGCCTCCTGGCCTCCTGGTTCAAGCAAGTTTCCTGCCTCAGCTTCCCCAGTAGCTGGGACTACAGGCGTGTGCCACCATGCCTGGCTAATTTTTGTATTTTTGGTAGAGACAAGGCTTCACCATGTTGGCCAGGCTGCTCTCGAACCCCTGTCCTCAAGTGATCTGCACACCTTGGCCTCCCAAAGTGTTGGGATTACAGGCATGAGCCACCATAACCAGCCAAGTCATCTTTCCATACTCGGGGAAGGTTGAAGGCAGGCCAGAAAACATTCAAGGAAATTACCTGCATGGAAGGCGCTGTCTTCTAGGAATTACAGCAGACTCTGGCCTCATGCAGCATTAACACTTCGTGAGTCCTACATGGTTGTAAGGAGGCTGATCCACAAGGGAGATGGAAGAGAATACCTTGTTTCTGCCCTGCTTTTCAGTTTCATATGTTAAGATCTCAAAACACTCTAATCTTTCTACATCTTTTGTAAAAATCCCTGACTCCAAGAATAGGACTCCAACCAGTGAGGAATAGTTCAGGGAATATTTTTATCTTATTTGTATTGTTCAGTGGTTTTAGAAAAATCAATAGCTTCAGCTCTACTGTAAAGTGATTAAACCCTTGGTTCATGGTTCAGTAAAAGCAATAATATTTGTCTTTCATTTAAGGTTTAGCAAATTGCTGTTCTTCATTTTGGTTTTCTGTTCATGCTTCAGTTCAAGTCTCTGTTATGAAATGGAGCCTCAGAACCCCTTGGCTTTCTAGAGATAGAATTAAGAATTATGTACTGGTTTTGCCTCTACAGTCTGAAGCAGCTACTAAAACACATCTTTAGGTCTGTGTCCTCAAGTGCTTTCCCCGGCTTCTCATTCTTCTCGTCACATGTGTTTTAGACAGTGTCCCTACCCTGTGTTCAAAACAAGCAGAGCTGTGATGTCCTCATCATTAGTCATTATCAAGGGCAAGTCTAAGGCTAACTTTGAGGGGGAGGAAGGAAGCAGACAAGAGAAATGTAACTGTTTTCCGATCTTTTGGAAGATTCTTCTTAAATTAGAGACTTCTCCCTCCACTCCCCTGCGCACGGGAAGCACAGAGAAAAGGGCTGCAGAGCTCTTGGGTTTATGTTTCATTTCCTGCTGTGTTTCTAAATTTCAAGAAAATGTACCCGTCTCTTCCCATGTCCTTGTCTGACACTTAGACAATAAACATGGAACTGTTCATCCACATTTTTTAGGGGAGGAAATGAAAGGATATGTGCATTGGACATGGGGGCAAAGATGTGAAATTTGTTTAACCTGGCAGAGAGCATGGTCCTGCCCACCTTAGCCAGCGTTCTTGCCCTACAGAGGCAGCAGGTGGCAGCACGAGGATGCCAAATGCATTTCTTTCTCTGCAGCCACTTTGGGTGGGCTAACGTTTGTTGCATGACTTCAGAGGCCTGTCAAGAGGGCAGGTAATTCACCTTTGCTCTCTTGCCTCCCTCCTCAACTGTACTTTGCCCAAATATCAGGGTATTTTGAAAATTTGACAAGACAATTTGGTTAGCTAACATCTTTGACATTACTTCTCTAGAAGTATTATTCATCTGTGCCAGAGGAAGGAGGGGCAACCCATGTCTATCGTTATCACAGAGGCAAGTCGAAGCTGTACATGTGCTCGGACATAGGGAATGGTCAGGTAAGTGTACTCAACTATCCGGCACCATGCCTTCAGTCTACCAAGATATGACACCCTATATTCAAGAGCCCTTGCGAGACTTTGTGTTACTGGATGCCAGTGTGACTTGGCATTACAGGGCTTAACAGAAATGTATAAATTCATAACCTTAGAGAACTTACAGCAATGAACATGAAATAGGAGGTTGTCAAAAATATAAGATTGATGCCACTGTAGGATCTTTAGGTGAACCTGCAGTCCTGGGCCATGGGATTCTCGGCCAGGTTTAAAGAAAAGAGCTTCCAAGCCTGGAACATGTTGCATGCAATGATCGCCCCTGTGACTATCCCCTGCACTCTATTCTGGGCAACATAGACCCTTTCTGTATTTTTTTTTAAAAAGAGCTCCAAATATCGTCTTCTACATCTAGGGATAGGATTTTTTTTTTTTTTTTTTTTTTTTTTTTTTTTGAGACAGGGTCTTACTCTGTCACCCAGGCTAGAGTGCAGTGGAGCAATCGTGGCTTACTGCAGCGTTGACTTCCTGGGCTCAGGTGATCCTCCCACCTCAGCCTCCCAAGTAGCTGGGACTACAGGTGCATGCCACCACACCCAGCTAATTTTTAATGTTTTTAATAGAGATGGAGTTTTGCCATGTTGCCCAGGCTGGGGGAAAAGATTTTTAATAATTACATTTTTTACTGTAAGGTCATAACTGTCATGTCTTTGGTAATTTTTTATTTTATTTTATTTTTTTTTTTGAGAGGGAGTCTCACTGTCACCCAACGCGGAGTGCAGTGGTACAATCGTGGCTCACTGCAACCTCTGCCTCCCAGGTTCAGACAATTCTCCTGCCTCAGCCTCCCAAGTAGCTGGGACTACGGGCACCTGCCACCACGCCCAGCTAATTTTTGTGTTTTTCTTTTTGTTGTTGTTGTTGAGACGGGGTCTCGCTCTGTTGCCTAGGCTGGAGTGCAGTGGCATAATCTCGGTTCACTGCAAGCTCCGCCTCCTGGGTTCATGCCATTCTCCTGCCTCAGCCTCCCGAGTAGCTGGGGCTACAGGCGCCAGCCACCACGCCTGGCTAATTTTTTGTATTTTTAGTGGAGACAGGCTTCCACCGTGTTAGCCAGGATGGTCTTGATCTCCTGACCTTGTGATCTGCCCACCTCGGCCTCCCAAAGGTGCTGGGATTACAGGCATGAGCCACCACGTCCGGCCCATTTTTGTATTTTTAATAGAGACAGAGTTTCACTGTGTTGGCCAGGCTGGTCTCGAACTCCTGATCTCAGGTGATCTGCCTGCCTCAGCCTCCCAAAGTGCTAGGATTACAGGCGTCAGCCACCGTGCCTGGCCCATGTCTTTCATAATTTTTAAAAAGAAAGTACAAGGGAAGTGTGGTGACGGGGGTCTCGTTTAACAAAATACTTTTTTGTAAAGGTAGTAACAATTACAGGCCTCTCACTACAAACTTACCTTTTACCACATATCATTCTGGGGAAGCCAAAGATTCTGTTTATTGAACTGATTCAAAGGAGGAGGTGGTGGTGGTGGTGGTTTCTGAGGAGACTAGGTTTTTGCTTTTGTTTTAAACTACCTGCTTGTATTCAAAGATAGCAAACTGAAGTCCAGAGTCGATTCCGGAGTCTAAGTTGGATTCTTGACTTCTTTGGTCTGTCAGCCATTTTGGGGTGTTAGAGGGAGGAAGTTTAGGACAAGGATGGGAGAGTGGACACAGGGACATGAGCAAGGGCTGAGTGTACACTTGAAGCACCTCCCACACGCCTCCCCTGGCCTGGGAGGTGAGTAGTGGTGCCAGAGCTTGAGTCCTGAGCCCCCTTTTCTGGCCTAGCCTGAACTCTCACCTAAGTGCACCTGACCCTAAAGGGTGCACTTAGGTACATGTGGGGAAGAGTCATTCCCAACTCTCCTTTTAAAATGTAAGTTCCCTTTAAGGGAAATTGGCTTTATCAGTCAGCCTGTTGCCTTCTAGGACCACCCCTACTCCTAGAAGAAGCACAGAAGAGAATGTATTGAGAGCCTAAGTGTCACTTTTGCATTTTAAATTTTCCCTGCAATCCAAGAGTCCCATGTTACAGACTGGAAAACCAAGGCTCAAGAGAAGTTAATCTCTCTTAGTATATAGCAGAGATAGGACTTAAACTCAGGTGTGTCTGATTCCAAAGCCCATGTAAGGATGAAAATTATAATAAACATCTGACTAAAAATACCTTACAGAATTCACTTAAAAATGCCTTAATGACTTAGATGACAACTTAGAAAAAGCTGACAGAACAATTACTAACTCCTCATAAGGTAGAAGAAAACTTCTCTTTACAATCCAAAAGTGAAAGTTTGGGCACAAATCAGTGTTCTACTTGTCTCTTCAGAGAAAAGACAGAAAAAAGACATCCCTTGGTCCTGGAGGCATCTATCAAATATCAGAGTGTGCTCCAGAGGCATCCCAGCCTGTGAGTACGGAACTGCTTACGCACTGGGTTTCACCACCGTTACAACTCCATGAACCAGTTGACATGGTTCTTAGAGGGCTATTTGAATTGGGTCTATAGTATTTTTAAGTTGAGATGTTCTTACACTTAAGAAGGGAGTGCAGAAAATTTTGGTTCAGTGTAAAACTGGGTTTTCTTGGTATTCTTCCTTCACTCAAAGCTTCAGGGATACTCTTTGTGCCTGAACTCATAGTTGTGGTTGGAAAGAATGTGAAGTATTCACATCTCAGTTCCTACCTACAGCTCAGCTGAGCTGGCACTGGGTCCTGCTGGAATTCCACCATCTGTTCAAGCAGCAGGAGGGGCACGATCCTCCTGCTAACAAAGTGAAAACCATTGCTGAAATTCCGAAACATACACATTTGGTGAGATCAGGTTCCACAACATTTGAAGGCATTCGTTCTCATTTTCCAAAAATGTTTCTTTGTAAAAACATATAATGAGTTTTTCATTTTTAAGTAAAGTACTCATTAGTTCATGAAGCCAGGGGATCCTTTTTGGAACTTGGAAGGGCTAGAATTCTGAGGAAAGGAACTTCATCCAGCATGGTGCCGCAATACATTTCTTACTTTTTGTTTGTATACAGTTTGCTACTAGTCAGGATTTGGAGTATACTAGAGTTATTAACAATTCAGAATATTCTGCTTGTAGTACAAATATAAGTTGTTAAGGCTTAGACGCCTCTCAACACTTGCAGACTTTTGGTAATACTGATGTTCCACAGTGTTGGAGTTCTACAGCCACATGCCAACCTTACCTCTATGTCTCCTTGTGTGCAAATGAAGCATCCTTGGCTTTCTGCAATTCTGATACAACCATATTTTCTAAAAGTGACTTCTATTTACATGGTTGACAACCAATAAATAGTTAATGACATTGTTATACACATTTACATCAGTTAAAGGATTATAGACTTCCAATTTTGCAGAAACTGGACAGGCATGCAAGAATACAACATTAAACAGCTTTGGAAAAACTTGGCTTCAAATCCATCTGCAAGGTAGGAGGAATAGAGGAAATTTCATAAAAATGTAAACATGATCATTTATTCCTCTGAGTGCAATTTGCTGGCCAGTAGTTTGGCTTTTCCTGTGTGTGGTAGTGGAATCTACAGCTTTTGCCTGTGGCCCCTTCTCAGCATTAAGCAAACATGTAATGGCATCCCAGCTGTCAATCTGGCCCTTAATTACAGGCTCTTTTCTGGTTTGTGACTTTGTCCTTTTGTCATTTGAACTGAGACCCATCCTCTGCACACCTGATGTAACCTGCCTCCCAGCCATGAGTGAAGTCTACCCTTGGAAGACTGATTGTACTCAGTTCGGCTCTAAATAAAAATCTTTCCATTAACTCTGGCTTCCAATGTTTTGTACTCTGGGAGAACCAGTCCTCCAAGGGAAAGTTTTGTCAGCCAGCTGAATTGCTGCTTCAGTGACAAAATGGAATCCACTCAAATTGTTTTGAGCTTTAGGACAAAAGAAATGCCTATCATCTTCCTAATAGTGAACTTAGCAAAGCACAGTTTAAAAGAATGGCTCTCATCACTCCCGATTACCTTGCCATTACTGCTCATCTGTGCTAAGTGCCACTGTCTACTTCTGATCCCCAAAACAGTGGCCTCTAGCCTTTCCCTCTGCCTAACTCCAAGTAGAGTGTTCTTTTTATAATCCTTCATGTTCCTGTAAGACTTTAGCATTTACAGAGCATTTTCACATGCTTATTTGTGAGGTATTATCACAGTTCTAGAAATAGGGAAAGGCTGAGACCTACCAAAATGACAGTGTTGTACGTGAGCAGGCTGAGCCTTGAAAGCAGGACCTGTCTCCCACATTAGCACTTCATTCCATCACACCTCTGCATGCACAGGTAGCCTGCTGGGGGGCCATGGTGGCAGTGGGGTATAAAATCTCTAAACTGCTAATATCCTTTTTTTCCTTCTAGGCTGAGAACATTTCTAAGGACCTCTACATAGAAGTATATCCAGGGACCTATTCTGTCACTGTGGGCTCAAATGACTTAACCAAGAAGACTCATGTGGTAGCAGTTGATTCTGGACAAAGTGTGGACCTGATCTTCCCTATGTGATGTTGACCATCACTGCCTTCACATCACCTTTTTTTAAGTAGTAAGAATAAAGCCACTGTATGATTCTCTTGATAGCTATACATTAATCCTGTTTTTAATGCTGACTGGGTCAGCCTTCCCAGGAACTGGAGTCTGTCTTTTTCAGTGCCTTTTTTAACTGGAGGTGTAGGAGTCCTTCATGCTTGTTTGCCTGAAAGTTATATGATTCGCTCTCTGAACAGGTTTTACTGCTTGCTTTCCAAGTAGAGGTTAATTATGATAATAAAGAGACTGGAAATGAAGAGAATTCATTTTTATTGAGAGGTAAAACAAAAATGTCACTCATGTACAACGGTAGGCTCTATGGAAAGGTGGCAGAGTGGCTGTGGACACATTTGCCCAAAGCAGGCTGACCCTCTCTTCCGTGGAAGAGGCACCTTAAAGCAGTCTCACCAGGGCCCTGGCAGGGACCCCCAGGGCAGGACCCCACACTCCTATACCCCTCACAACAGGTGCCTTCCTGCTGCTTATCTGCAGGGAGGTCTTCGTGGGGTGGAGATACTGCTGGTTATTTGACTGTTACCTGTGGCCTGTCCTGTGCCTCCTTCCGTTGAAGGCCTTGTCAGCCACTCTGTATAACTCTCCTCAAGTTAAACATGTTTATTCTTTACCTATAAAAGGGGAAAAATCCATAGATTGTTATGCTGACTGTAATTTTATTCAAAAGTCACTGATTTTAAAAAGTCATTGATGTGCTGAGTGTGGTGGCTCATACCTGTAATCCCAACGTTTTGGGAAGTTAAGGCAGGAGAATCACTTGAGCCCAGTAATCAAGACCAGCCTGGGCAACACAGTGAGACCCTCTCTCTACAAAAAGTAAAAAGTTTAGTCAGGTGTGGTGGCATGTACCTAGTTACTCAGGTCCTAGCTACTCAGGAGACTCAGATGGGAGGCTCACTTCAGCCCAGGAGTTCAAGGCTGTAGTGAGCCATGATTATGCCACTGCGTTCCAGCCTGAGTGACAGAGTGAGATCTTGTCTCAAAAAAAAAAAAAAAAAAAAAATCATTGCTGTGTCCCAAACGTCTTGAAGCTGCCACAGCAGTACTGTGACACCTCCCAGTTTCATTGCCTGGTTCTCTCGTTTTGAACACAAACCTTTCCACCTTTCCTTGGGAAAGGTGCCAGTATTTTATATGATGGAAATGAAGTTTTAAGTAGAGCTATATTACCATTGTTAGTGAGGAACAGACTCCATATTCAGAGGGCCTAATAAAGCAGACCCCTACCCAATACCATAGAACAGAGGGTCATTTAAATGGGGATCCTTGCACCCCCAAGAAGCCTGTGATTAAATTCATAGGTTCCATAAGCATTCTGAAATTACATGCAAAATTGAGGGTATGTACATTTTTCTGGGACAAGGGGTCATAGGTTTTACTGTTCTCAAAGCGGATGTGACCCAAAAAGTCTAAGACTCATGTGAGAAGTCCTTAGGAAGCCCCTTTCCAGCCATTCTGCTTTACCTAGATCCTCAGGGCTCTCAGTCTAAGGGGAATTCTTGTTCCATGGACCTATTGCAAGGCTCTGACTCTGCTTTCTGTGTTCAACTTCCCCTGGCGGGGTCTGCGGTGGCTTCGTGTTGGTTGCCTTCAAGACCAGCTCCGTGGTAGTCCCCACTACTACAGTTTGTGCTCCCTGCTGTTTGTGATCCTTTTCTTCTTTCCAGATGTTGGAATATCTTGTTCCTAAACCCAAAAGTCAATTACTTAGGTTGAATATGCCATCATTTTGATGGGATAAGTAGAACTAAAACAAGGATCACTGAAGTATCTGTAAGCTCACAGCATTGTTTTCTTTTCATTTATTATGTATTTGAGACAGGGTCTTGCTATATCACCCAGGCTGGAATGCAGTGGCATGATCATAGCTCACAGCAGCCTCGACCACCCGGGCTCAAGCCATCCTCCCACCTGCCACCCCCTCTTCACTACAGCCCCCAGTAGCTCGGACCACAAGCGCACACTACCATGCTCAGCTAATTTTTTAGTTTCTTTATAGGAACAGGGTCTCGCTATGTTGCCCAGCTGGTCTTGAACTCCTGGGCTCAAGCGATCCTCCAGCCTCAGCCTCCCAAAGTGTTGCGATTACAGGTGTAAGCCACTACACTTGGCCTATTTTACCATCATGCAATGTGTCCATGTAATGTTTTCTATTTTTAGAGAAAAAAATTTTTATCATTTCTGGCCCTTATGCTTTTGGGAAACATTACCTGATACCCAAGATTTGGAGTAGTGAAGAAGTTATTGGATGTGTTTTCTAAACTGCCATTAGGGCAAGTGAAGGTAACTGACTGCCACCAGTTAAAGGAGCTTCGACACCTTCACTGATCACTGATAACATGGACCATAAAGAAGAGACTACAAGCTGATGGAAAAACAAGTTTTAAGAAATTGAACTGGGTGCATTAGTGCACACCTGTAGTCTCAACTATTTGGGAGGCTGAGGCAGGAGGATTGCTTGAGCCCAGGAGTTTGAGGCTGTAGTGAGCTATGATCATGCCACTGCACTCCAGCCTGGGTGACATAGTGAGACCTTGTCTCTAAAAATAAAAAAATATATATATTAGGGCAAAACAAAAATAATGGGAGATGTGACTTCCTGAGGAACAGACCAATCTAAAAGGGAAGGAACGCTTTTTATGTTTCTTTTACAACTACAGATTGAATCCTGTTTCAGTTATAAGCAAAGGAGGCAGAAAGCACCTCCCTGCCAGCAGCTGACAATCTGGCCTCCCTAGGACTGTTAGAATCTAACTGTAACCTCTCACTGCCTGTAACTGAAAGTAAGGGAAAGTGTGGAGGACAGAGAAACCTATGCAAGAGCTTTTGTGAGAGGCAAAGCTCAAAATTGAGTGTCGAGCATCAGCACTCGACAGAACGGATATCGAGTCCTGAGAGCAGGAACTGATTAAACATCAAGCATGTTTAGGAGAAGCAAAACAGCATATTTCCTTTAAAAGATACAAAACCTGGAGGGGAGAAAAGCAAAGCGCTGGTGTTTGCCTTGTTTCAGCCCTGACCCACATGTGGTTTTCTGTGCTTCTCTTAACTAGTGAGCTGTGACAGGCAGTCCCACGTGTGTGGTGAAGGCTGGAGATGGCCATGTCTCCACACCCCCTCTCGGGCATGCTCTCTGTATATTTGGGAACATGCTGACGATGCTCACGGGTCAGCCCCAGGAACTCTCCCTAGAGCATAACACAAGATCCAGTATTTAACAGGAAAGCTGGGCCAACTACCTGAAGATACTATAGTTCTCTTCTTTATAGTCGATTATTAGAATTTATTTCGGGGGAGAAAATAACTTTGGAGTGGATCTGTTTAAATGTGGTGATGGAGAGAGACTGTAGGTGTAGGCTTCGGGCAGTAGCAGTAAGAGCTGTGTAAACTTAGGGCCAGGGGAAATTTGTTTGGACTTAATCAGGTTTGGAACCCTTCTAGAGATTGCTATGGAGCAAGCCACAGCAATAGGAACACAGATGTGGTACCTAGGGCATCTCTGGCCCCCATGGCCCCTCTGGTTGTCCCTCTCCCCTATGCTGGGCTTGGTATTGTCTCATTTGCTCCCCACAGACCCTTTTCTGTTGGGTAGGTACAGCTTTTCTTTCTCCAGGCTCTGCTGGAGCAAGAGGCATTGGGAGCTATGGAAAATTTAGCATGAAAACGCTAGAGTTTGGTACCATTTTCTTTATGCCCTCTCTACAAGTGATAATATAAAGAAAATGGTACCAAACTCTAGTGTTTGCATGCTAAATTCTCCATAGCTGCATTTCTTTCAAATGGAGAAAGAAACTGGCATATCTTTCTTTCTTTCTTTCTTTTTTTTTTTTGGAGACAAGAGTCTCACTGTGTCACCCAGGCTGGAATGTAGTGGCTCACTGGAACCTCTGCCTCCAGGGTTCAACTGATTCTGGTACCTCAGCCTCCCAACTAGCTGGGATTACAGATGTGCATCACAGTGCCTGGCTAATTTTTGTATTTTTAGTAGAGACGGGGTTTCACTTTGTTGGTCAGGCTAGTCTCAAACCCCTGACTGCAAGTGATCCGACCCCGCTTTGGCCTCCCAAAGTGCTGGGTGAGCACTGCACCTGGCGAAATCACCATTTCTGAGTGGCTGCTGCCAAGGCTTGCCATTGCAAGATTGGAGTAACCCATTTCACAGAAGCCTGGGACCCACCTCCCCATTTTATATTTTCAATATAAAGTTTCCTCCTGGAGAGTGGAGGACGAGCACAGCTGGGTCTGAGATATAGGGGAAAAATCCTCATATAAAATCCAAGTGCAGCAGACATACCCCTCCCCTCCCAAAGCCCAAGGGTTCAGAGGAGTCACCAGGAAAGCTTCTCTTTACAAACAATTTCTCAACTTTCTGGAACCGAACACTAATAAAGTCGCTACCCCTGGGGCAAGATTGAAATCTTCATTGGTGCCAGCTTGATGGTTCATGCCTGTAATCCCAGCACTTTGGGAGGGCGAGGCAGGCAGATCACTTGGGCCAGGGGTTCGAGACCTGCCTGGCCAACATGGCAAAACCCCATCTCCACTAAAAATACAAAAGTTAGCCAGGCATGGTGGCATGCACCTATAATCCCAGCTACTGGGGAGGCTGAGGCATGAGAATCACTCAAACCTGGGAGGCAGAGGTTGCAGTGAGCCAAAATCATGCCACTGCACTCCTGCCTGGGCAACAAAGTGAGACTGTCTCAAAAAAACAAACAAAAAACAAACAACAACAACAAAAAACTCTCATGGGCTAAGCAGTCCTTCTGGCTCAGTGACTGTGCTAGAAATAGGGCTATGGTTTCAACCAGGGAACCCTAGTGGGTCCCAGTGTGGGCAGTGCCTAGAGATCTAAGCCCTTAGCAATGGTGTTCCTTCACCTCACAGCCTCCCTGCCCCAGATATGTTCAGTGACCCCAGGACCCCCAGAATCTTGTCAAGGGCCACCTCCTTC